ACGTCCAGCACGCAAAGCCTGCCCGCCGGATCCGCGAAGACAAGAACACACGCAGCCTTCAATGACTTGCTCACCAACCAAGAGACACCCCTCGAGCGTCCATCAAAACATGCTGAATAGAGGAAAACCCCCAGACAGAATGTTCTCATAGTCACGAGAAGAAAAACGGGTCTCTTGTACACAACAGATATTCACCCCGAGACGCTGAAGATCGCGAGAGAGCCTCGCCCTGCGAGACTCGGACCTCAGGCCTCGGGCATTCACACTTGCTAACCAGAGAGCCATGATGGAACCGATTAGGGTTGCTCTCCTGCATTGAACATGGCCGGGGTCAGGACACCGACGGCCTCTCCATTGAGCCTGTACCCATCTCACTAACGATGGTGCCATCAGGAGACAGGCCGCCAATGTCCAAGGGGAACGTTAGCTTTAAAGCTCTATACAGGAGGGGGTGAACGAAAATCGGAACCTCCCTGAACAAAATTGTTGTAATTTTTTGACGTTTTCGTCGTCAAAACACGACATCGGTGGAAACATGGTAAAGGTTTCATTTGCATTGGCCATCATGGCCCATATTTGCTGACCAGCTACCCTCGATCTCACCACAGTGAGAACCCTTCTTGCGTTGGGGAAATTTCGAGGGTTCTCCACATCTAGATTGTTCAATTTCCTGAAATTTAAAAGAGTTTTTAAATCTTTTAATTTCTTTGCATGTAGTAATGCCTTCTCTTCTGTTTCCTTGGAAATTCGGCACACATCTTCCCCTCTATTGTATAATGGTCTAGATTTTATTTTCTTTTCTGTGGTGGCTTCAGAAGCATCCGAAGATGGACTTCTTTGGCGCTTTTGCTGCTCGTGTTTTGATGGTGAGGTTTTGGGGGTCTTCATGGGAGAATGTTTAGGTGATGTTTTTTTAGCAGGTGATTTTGTCGCAGGTCCCTTCTTTAGTGTGGTCATTGATGAATCAACTTCCCTAATAGGTTTAGTGATAGGGGGAGGGACCATGGAATGATGTTTAGTGCCAGGGGAAGATGGTGCCGACAAAGAGGTGCCAGATTTCTTCTCCGCGTCCTGTCGTTTGGATTTAAGTTCTTCCTTTAATTTTATAAGTTTTTCCTTCTTCTCGTAGGATGGTTCGTATTGGATTAACTTTTCTCGGAGTTTATCCGAGTAGCTGGCCGAAGAGTCGCCCTTTGCACTGGTAGAGGGAGTGGGGTTGTCTGTGCCTTTTACTGGTTTTTGTTGTGGAACGAGGTTCCGCTGCCCGGATCTTCCCTTTAGTCTTGCCAACGACCTGCCATTCCCCCTCTCCCTTCTCCCTAACCGCACTAGCGTCGGGCAAAGGCTCTTCGGGGAATGGGGGCTGAGATTTGGACCCAACCGGGGGATTTTCCTCACCGGTCCCGGTCGCTGGCATGCTCACTACAGGCGGGACGGATGGAACAGACTCGGCCAAAGGGGGATTTGGTTGGACGGGAGCCAGAACATCAGAGGCCTTCATCTCTGTGCAGGAAGAGGAAAGGTGACCAGTCTTTCCACACTTCCAGCATGCCGGTTTTCGACCCGTCACAATTATCGGCATCTTCTGGCTCTTTACATCCAGACAGTTGGGGATGGTGCGGAAGGCATCCTGATCGATCATGATCTCGAAGCTCCACCCCCCGGTCAGATCATCAGAGGAAGCACTGAGTATTTGGCCAAACTGGCCCAGATAAGCAGCCAAGTGATCGCTGACAATCTGAGGAGGAACCTCACATACCGAAACCTTGGTCCTCCGCCTGCCTTCGTACTCTGTTCTCAGAATCAGGTCTTTGGTGATAAGATCGCGAGTAGCAGCATCTTCACAGTCGGCAGGCGTGGGTAACAGTACGTCCCACATAAAATATCCTTTCCCTTTCACAACTCTCTGAGCTTTAATGCCCAGGGAATATAATGTTTTAATAACAGTGTCTTTAGTGGAGCGACAAATCTTGCGCGAGCGCTTGTCGACCACAAAGACTGACACAATTCTTTTTTCAACCTTTCGTAATTCCTCGGGATTAGGCAAGAGCCCATCTGCTGTCACCAGATGTGCGTAGCTCTTGGCCCTCTCGAGGAACTCCGTAATGTTGATTTTACATTTCGGTGGGGACTTCCAGCATGAGGGCGTCTCTCTGGCCGCTATGTTTCCGTCCTGAGATGTCTGACTGGTTGCTTCTTGGCTACTTTCCGCCACCTTATTCTTGTCATGTTGATTTTTTGAAATATCAGCATTTTGGCCGCTTTCGGCCACCATAATTTGGTCTGGCATACTTTTTTCTGGACTCTTATTATTATCACAATTAGAGGACTCATTTGAGGCCACCATACTTTTTCCTGGACTCTTATTATTATTATCACAATTAGAGGACTCCATAGATTTTTCTTCAACTACAGGGCTTTCTTCTAAATTTTTATCAGGAGGGCCTTTTTTTTTTTTTTGGAACCAAACAGGTTCTTTTTCACCGTTCTCCTGGGAGGCATTTTTTAAAAACAAAACTTTTTTTTTTTTTTTTTTTCCTTCACATAAAAAAAGCAACAAATAAAAGTATAAATTAAACGAAAGATAAATAAATCACAATAACAAAAAAGAATTTTAACAAGACAGAACAGTTAAAGACGCAAAAAAGTAACAGAAACACGACGCTAAAAACGACAAAATACGTTCAAAATAAAAACAGCTAACAATTACAAATTACAAAAAAAAACGAGTACGAAAATGAAAATCACATTTTAAAACGGAAAATAAACAAAAGGTATCTTTTTTCAACAAAAAAAAATAAAACAAAAAATACCAAACGAGTTCACAAATACAATATGGCTGCCACTAGAAAAAAACTAGTCAGCCCAAACACGAACGAAAAATACGTAAACTAAAATAAAAAAGAACTAACGAATAGAAAATAAAAGCGGTAAATAAATGCAAAAATTTACAATGAACACAGAAAAAGACTTAAATAAAGGAATACAGAATAAATAACAGTTATTTACAACGAAAGAAAAACACTGAAAACACGTAGAAATAAAAATGTAAACAAAGAAAAAAAGTCTTACGAGGCAAAATAAAACAATGAAAAAATAAAGTTTGGTGTGGGGAAGTTACTGAAAATTAAAAGGAAAAAATTAAAACTCAAAAATACGTATTAAAAAAAAGGAAATTAATAATAAAGAAAACAACAAGGGATAAAGTATAAAAAATAGAGGGGAGGGAAAAGAAAGAAAAAAATCAAATCAAACTTTTGGCAAATCAAATCAAACTTTTGGCAAAAAAAGTCAATAAACTGAACGTAAAATAAAATAAAAATGAACTTAACGTGAACAAAGGGTTGAAATCAAAAACAGTTCGTAATAACTCGCAAATACGTCTGGCGTCAAACACCGGTCGTATACCGTCGGAAAAAGAACTCTCCCCAAGGAGGTACCAAAGAGGAAAGCTCACTAGAACAAAGACCATGAAAATATTTATAGAAAATGCACAGGGAAGCTGTTACACTGGTGAGAAAGTGACTGAAACCAAAATGCTAGATTTATTATTGTTGTGTCATAAATAGGAAATGTTGGCAAGTATATAGAAAATAAGAAGTAGTTTATTCTGGAGAATAATATGGTTGAGAACACAGGCTAATGTAATAAACAGTTAATTGTTAACTCCTCTTCATCAACAAGAGAGAGTGCTGTTTAAATAGTCTAAGACCAGTCCATCATGTGGGGGTCTTCAGCTACTCCACAACAATTATAGAATTCTCAAATGAGGAAAATTGTGGCTAAGTTCAGAACAGACTTTAATATCTCAACCTGAATGGAATCTACTGGAGAAAATGTTCTTCATTGTCTTTGGTAGAACTTGAAAGGAATTATTACAAATTTTTGAAGACTAGACAAACTGTCATTACACAATAGTACAGTGAGCAATTGGCTAATTTGAATGAGGCATTGGAATGAAAAAATTTTTACTGCATGGCAATGCCAGTGTTCATATTGCAAATGTGTCACTTGAATAGTTTTCATAGTCATAAAGGGGTTTCCATGGAGTTTCATCCATCCAATTTTTTTCTTTAATCCTTTATACTGTTGAGTGTAGAGCCACAACTGCACAGCACTATGTTTTGCATCTGTGATTTTTGTCATTCTTCTTGACTGGTTGCTAAACAAAGTTAGAGAGCACAGTTTTCCCCACTATTGACCTTTAGCTGGGGAGAGAAAAGATGGATTCCTACTTTTCCCAAGGGTATTTGTGCAAAAGTAAATACAGCCACCTTGACTGAAGTTTGAACTTTGCATGCTGATCTCATTTTCCACGCTGATAACTGCTATTTGTAAACTCTACCTATTTGTAATAAGCATTCTTGAGGTAAGTGTTTCTGTAAAAGAATAATTAATAAAAGTATTTTTTCACCTAATTTTGTTTCTTTTGGACCACTAGAAAACTGAAATCTGTCTTGTTACAGGCTTTTTGGATCTGTTTATATTCAATATATTTCATTATGGTAATGACTTGTTCTAGCAATATAATGCACCTCCTCCCCATTATGAATGGGAAGTGCTAAAATAGTTCCAGGAACATTCCCATGCTCACCAGATTTAAACCCCATTGAGCATGGAAAATTCCCTACAGCCAGGCTTAACAAACACAACTTAGTTATGAATAGTCCTGGAATATATCTGGAGATATATCTATGATAACTAAACCGTCTTGTAGACTCTATGCCACATCATGAAGCTATTGTTTTCTAGACAAAGATGTTATTAATCTCTATCTCCTGTTTTTTGTCACTTTCATTTACTCTGATGATTAATAATGCTATGGATTTTGTGTCCACTTAATTAATACCAAGGAAGACAATATTTTGTGTAAGACTTAAATAAAGATTATGATATAGTAAAAAAAAATGCTTATGTTTGTTTTTATTCAAAATGTAAAGAATATGGACATAATTCTGTGAAAATGATTTTTATTTTTGGAACTTGTGTTTGTTTTTCAGGTCATGGATTTTCTGGAAGTTATGAGGAATATTTTGGCATGAATACTGATGTAGATTCTTTGATCTATCTAACGCTTTCAAATTATATGTTGCATAATCTTTACCCATTTGTTATAACCATTGCTGAGGTAAGTGAAAAAGTCCTTTTGTGGAAAGATAATTAAACATTTTTTTCTATCAAACATGAACAAGCTGGTCATCTATTTGCTTATAAGCAGGACAAATCTGCTACACTTCATCTTGTTTTGAAAAAAAAATGTATAACAATAAAATAAAATTAACATACAAAATGATAATACCCAGAAGTTTAATAATTAGTTAAACTTTTTACTATGCTATTGTTCACCCAATACAATGGCCAAGAGCCACTCAAAGTAGAGGCTTATTGAATGTGGTTATTTTATGAACATAAAACTTGGAGATTATGAGAATGAATAGGCTAGATACCAGTTGATCCTAGACTTGAGGAGGTTAGTGGTTGGGAAAAAATCCTCTTGGATGTCCACAAAGCAGCAACTCTTGGGGAAAAAGCTGTATGAATGGAACTTCTTTCTTACCAATGGAATATGAAGGGAATGAGGAGTATTGGCAGATTAAATAACAGATTAAAAAAAACAAAAACAATCACTAAAATTGCTGTTCCGAAATATAAATGTTGTGTAAGGTTAGGATTATTTATAACGAAAATAATTAAAATACTGACAATTATTTGTAACTGTGATATTTTCAAACATAATTACACTTAATGTTTTTATTTGAAAGATAACAAATTTTCCAGAACAGATCTACATTTTTATACCTTAATTTGATTCAAACCATGAATTGGCTTCATTTTTCTCTTGTTTCATATAGGAGGTTTCTGGAATGCCTGCTCTTTGCCGTCCAGTGGAAGAAGGAGGAAATGGGTTTGATTATCGGTTAGGCATGGCTATTCCTGATCTGTGGATCAAAGTAAGGATCTTAATAGAGTTGATTTGTTTTCAGTTTAAATTTTACCATTATATTTGCATTACCTATTTGTATATTGTCCTATTTCTCTTGTAGGCCAGCAACACATTCTAAATATCTATCTATATATTTATCTGAATACTTATTTGGAGATATATACCTATATACTAAACTTAGCTTAGGTTAATCTGAAGCCATAATTTGCAGACCATCTACAGGAGACTGAATTCACTACTGATGAATTGAGATGCCATGTCGATAATTATTTCAATACAGTGCTACATAGATAAATTTTTCACACTTTTCCAACCCTTCTCAGGAAACAGTATTTGTGTACTTGTAAAATCTGTAATACGAATATGGTATGTCTATTTGTCTACATATATGCACTCACATACCAGTAACTTGGACGTAAAGCCATTATAATTTTATAAAGTTGTATAAGTGAGATTTGTAGATTTTGGTATATTATTTGGCTAACCAGCTGCTTGTATTTCTTAAACTATTAAAAAGAGTAGGATAATTATAAAAATAAAAATCTAGTATTAATTTTAGGTTACTAAAGAAATTTGAAATTAATGATAGTTTTGTGAAAAAAAAAAATCCCCCACAACTCAGTGTTATAACTCTGGTTTATAAAGACTATAGTATTAATTATAAGTTTTTACCTATGACCCATTAATGCCTGCCATCGCCAAAATGGAACAATAGGTCAATGTAGCCACAGGGTAAATTGGGAATTTGTTACTCGACAAAACTAGAAAAAGTAGAATGTTTTTAACAACATTAAATAACAAGTACTGGAGTTCATGAAGAAAAAAGGAGATAATGTCAAAATTAACAGTAGCAAGTGACTGATTGATGCCAAAAGTAATGTTAATAAATCAGAAAGATTGTTAGATGGAATAAAGTTCATAGTTGCAACATACATGACATGGTGTGTTATAGTAATCACATGATTGTATAGCTGTATATGGAAGGAAATCTGCAACAGTAGTATCCTGTGTTCAGTGAGAATTTTTGAGACATGTCTGTTGCTGTTACAAGTGAATCACTGACTTTACTCTGAACTGCATCTTTATTTAAGGTCGTTAGAGTGGGTGGGAGACAGAAACTGGGTTTAGAAATGGTATATTGTGATTGATTAGAAAATTCTAGTTGCCAGATGTTGATGATTCTTAAAATCTATGCAGTAGAAAGAAAGGGAATTCATCACTTATTGCTTAACTGCTGAGGAAACACAACTGTTATAGAGTAATGGAAGTAGAAATTTATAGATTAATTTACAGGTGTGGTATTGAATAGGTTTCATGGTCACCTACAAATTTTCTTTGTAAAATCTTATCAGTGATGTAACAATAATTACAGCAAAATTTAAGTCAATACATATACATGTATAGATTGGTGCTATTGGTAATTTTGTATATATTGGTGCTATTGGGAATGTTGTATATAATGGTACTGTGCATTTCTAGTATTGGTAATTTTGTAAACATTTGTTATATTGGTAGTGTTGGTAATTTTGTATATATTGGTATTATTGGTAATATTGTATATATTTATAGTATTAGTATTATTTTATATATTGGCACTATTAGTAATATTGTATATATTGGTACTATTGGGAATTTTGTATATAATGTTACTGTGCATTGGTACTATTAAGAATTTTGTATATAATGGTAGTATGCATTGGTACTAATGGGAATTTTGTTTATATTGGTATTATAAATGGGTACTATTGGTAATTTTGTTATAGTGGTAGTATCTTAATTTTGAATATGTAAATATAAATTAATATATGCAACATAATATTAAAAAAAAATCTAAAGGCATAAAGAGACATTTTCTTTATACTTTGAGGAAGCAGCAGATTTTAATTTTAATATATATTCAGAAGGCAATTTTTGACACAAGAAATTAAGTATTCAGACATTTTCTATATGCCTCAAGTTCCCATCAGTTTTTAATGGATATATTCAAAATGTATGGATGTAAGAGCAGTATAATGGTTATCAGGAGAGAAAGTGGATTTAGTGTGTTGAGTTCAAGTTCTGCCCTTGTTTGGAAATGCCGAGAGTCCATCTTCCTCCAACTATGAGTTAAATAACAGGATAAACTGGATTCTCTTGTGTTGAGTGACAATCTCTAGGGGAACAAAACTCCATCCAGGTATTTTGTCACAAACACACCCAATGCTTCTACAGCTGCAGTACATGTGGTTGCCCCAATAACCCTAATGAGTTACAGGACTTGTGACTTTGATTGGTATGGGCAGAAAATTAAAATTATTCAACAATCACACAGTGGGCTATTACATGAATTTTGCAGATATTTGACTATAAAAAAAATTCTTAAAAATTATTCTTCAAGGGTGGTTATGGGCTTAGAGGCTTATTGGCAAAATCATTCAGAAAAAGAATGAAATTTAAAATTTTTCTCTGAATCTCTGGTTCTGAGGGTCTGGGGTTGAATTTCTGTATTTGAACAGAAAAGGGTAAACCTTCAAGGTGTTTTGAGTTTGTTAGATTGAGGGTATCAATAGGACAACTTAGAAAATTATAAGTTTCTCAATCTGACAGAAAAGCAATGAATTAGTGAAGTTTCACAGAACTTGTTAGTCAATAAACTAAAACAAACAGATCAACAAAGCAAAGGAACTTACTAATTAACAGATACTGAAGAATACATAGTAATTAGTTAATACTTAAATTAGCTTGTATTCAACTCAGTCATTTGAAATTATACAATTTGAAAATATTGAAAAGGACAATTTTTCAAATAGCTGAGAAAGAACAGCATGAAAAGTGTTGTGAATAACCTCTCCTTTCTTATATATATATATATATATATATATATATATATATATATATATATATATATATATATATATATATATATAAAATGTTGTTATCAAAAACAACAGTAGAAAACAAGAATTGGTTTAACAACAAGTATATTACCTTTTAGTGCAGGGAAACATAATGTAGAATAGAAACTAGGGAAGAGAATATTTAGTCATGAATGATTAATTGTTTTCAGCAAAAAGCTACTGCTCCTCCTGCTACCCTCTTGATGTAGGGATATTTTTATGTCTTTTGTCCAACAGCTGAGTCCAAACTTGTAGGAAAATATTCGCCTTCACAAATATACATATATATATATATATATATATATATATATATATATATATATATATATATATAATAGCATCTGTCTCTGAGAATTTTCCCATTGAAATGAAAAAATATTGTTGTTTTTTGAATAAATATCACTGTTTTTTTGTAGAATTTTTTTTACTGAAAATCATTAAAATAAAATGGTTATTTTCTGAGTGAACTTTGCAAATTTTAGTAATTAAAAAATTGAAACACAATAAATGACATTTTCACAAAATCTGAGTTGCTGAGTTGTTTTAAACCTATTTCTATGCCCACCTTGAAACAGCATAAAAAATTGGGCAATTAATCTTTTTAAAAAACTTTAAATTCTAAAAGCCATAACTTTTGATTGGTTAATGATATGGACAAAATTTTGAAAGCCACAGTTAGCAAGATTTAGAAACACCTTTTGCTGATTTGAAAGTAGTAATTTAAAAAATTGCTAATGTCTGGATCTAGTCCATTGTGAGTCATTAAAAAATCTACCAGTCAGTTTCTAGCAAAAATAACTTTAATATATATGGAAATTACTAACATTTTCTTAAGAGGGTATTTTATAGTTTTTGCTAGAGAAAGTTCTTTACTCTGAAGAATGTTACAAAAATGTCTCTTCTGTGAAAATGGCAGAAGCAAAAAAAGTTTTTGTGCAAACATTGTTAAATTCATGTCACATGTGAAATGACAAATCATTTCAGAAAAAATGGAAATATTTTTTTGTCTCAGGTTCATTATTTTTATTTATAGCTTTTAAAAACCACCTCAGATGAAAACTGGAACATGGGCCACATTGTTCATACATTGACCAATACTCGGTATGGTGAGAAAACAATTGCTTACACAGAAAGCCATGACCAGGCATTAGTGGGAGATAAAACAATTGCATTTTGGTTAATGGACAAAGATATGTACACATCAATGTCCATTTTCTCTCCCCCAAACCTGGTCATTGACAGAGGCATTGCTCTGCACAAAATGCTGCGACTTTTGACCTTAGCTATTGGAGGACAAGGATACCTCAATTTCATGGGTTAGTATCATTCAAAGTGTAAGTCACAAAAGCTGATTGATTTCTTTGCATAGAAAACTCATCATATTTTTTTGCCTTTCTCTTGTACTTTATTCTTTCTTTTTATATTATATTTATATTATATATATGTTTGTGCCAATACAGCAATATAGATTTGCTGTGTGCATGGGGTGTGTGTATGATAGATTATATATATATATATAAATATATCTGCCATAATGTGTGTCAATCACCAAGCGTACTCACACAACATGTTCACAGCCAACAGAAAGCCAAGCTGCAGCAGGAAGACTGACATGTCAGCAATGTGGGAAGAATTGCAAGACTCTTGCAGTCCTTAAAAGACATTTGAGATATATGTTAATTAAAGTAATGTTAATTAAAATGTGTGAAAAATTAAGAAAGTTTGACTGTAAGAGATGGTCTTACTCAGTCATGAGTTGACTTTCACCATAAATATATATATATATATGATAAATTGGAAAAATGTTTTTATGACAAGTTTCATCCGACTGGGCTAATGGATGAAACATGTCACAAAGACTTTTTTTTCCAATTAATCGTAATATTTTTCTAAATATCATTTGTTGATATATAAAATTATACAAAATGATATATTGTTATATATATATATATATATATATATATATATATATATATATATATATAATCTCAGTGTCAGCTTTATCTCCTATGTTAATTTAAATGCAATGTCAGTTACTATCTTTTGTCTTCCTGAATTTTGTCCTTTCACCTTACTAAAGTCTTCTCCTTCTCTCCTTCTCTTTCACTCTCTGTAATCCTTTGCATCTTAGTGGCATTATTAACTTGCTTGGGTTGAAATGATTAAAAGAAAGAAAAAAATAGTTATCTATATTCACATACATTTTTTAAGGCTTTGTTCATCTGTAAGCTTAAATTTAAATTGTATTGTTTTGATTATAACTACTAACCATCATTTAATTGTTTAAATATAAAATATCTATTTCAATATTTCTATTTAAACTTAAAAACTATAAGATGTAATGATTCTTTGTTTTTTTTTCCTTTGAAGACTTTTGTCTGTTGTTATCAAGCAAAAAATTTTTCTGTTTTAACTTGTTTATTTAGGTTACAGAATTTAAAACACATTTTGCTATATCTCCTATTCAAAGTGGAATATTTTAAATTCCTTTTCCTTTATTTTCTTCTATTTTTATGAAGCATTTTATTTCTATGAAAGTTTGTAAATTAAAATTGATAAAACAAGAACTTTCTAAGATCAATGGTTAAAAAAGGCTTTGAGAGTGAAGTCAGAGAGTTTTAGCAGACCATTTTTTGAATATTGTGAATTGGTCTTACAGAATCCCAAACAAACAACTGTTCCACGAAATCATTATTGGCATTAATTTTCAAAATAAACTGCAAAACCTCATTTTCCTTCCTTTTATTTTTATATAGGTTTTATATGTGGAAAAAGTCCATAGGTCTCATTACAGAAAATAAGTTGAAGTGAAAAACAAAAGATGGCGTATCTTAATATCAAAATGAAAAATATTTACAAAATAGGATAATAGATCTAAAAAAAAAAACATTAATTTTATGAGAGGATCAGATGCAAATTATAGAATCAGGAATCTTTAAAACACTTAACATCTGATTTGGCCCCCATTACCACTCTTATTTTGTTGAGCCATGTGTCTAATCAACAGGGCAAGGTTATGATAAAGGGACAGATTTATATAAATCTACATATGAATCATTACACCAAACTCTTCATTTGATAATGGTAATATTAACTGTTTCCCTGCAAGGAAATATTTGGTATTCACTGACTGAGCAGGCAGTACTGCTTATGGTTGAAATCTAAAAAAGTTTTTCTCTTAAAACAATTTCTCAGGAAAATAGATTTCTCAAGTCCGCTAACTGTTATTGTTCTTTCCAGTATTGATGGATGATTCCTTCCTAACCTTTTATTTGAAGTAGTGTAGAATGTCAAGATCTTAATTATGTCATTATTTTCTCATCAACTTGTGCTATCTATTTTAGTTGTTGCCACTGCTGATATTCATCAAGGGATACGGTCTCTGTAAATTCTGGTTTTGGTTTTCACTTATTTTCTATAATGACACCTATGGACTTTTTCCACATATAAGACCTATGTAAAAAAAAAAAAAAAAAAAAAAAAAAAGGAAGTAAGGAAAATGAGGTTTTACAGTTTATTTTGAAAATTAATGGCAGTAATGATTTTAGACAAAAAACTAACTGAATAGAATTGTTGTAGATTGAGACCAAGAAGACAAATTATGTGTTCTGCTTAAATCTTAGTTTCAGCAAAATATGGTGGTTGGGGACTGAAGATGCCCAAGGCACTTATAACATGATAGATGGATTACTAATTTGCTTAGGAAACTGCAAAAACTCCTACAGAAGGTAGTAAAAGAAAGCAAGAGGAAAGGATTAAGCATCAATTTTGAGAAGACAGAATGTATAGTTTTCAACAAGAGGAACAATCTAATATGCAAACTTTCTTGCTTTTGTATCAATATTTACTAAGCTTAACTTGGTTTGGCACAAAACCACAAATATGGAGCATCCATTAAGACTTGAAGTCATAAAGTAGTAAAGTGATGCCAAATTAGCTTCAAACAAACAAATCAATTCATCAATCACTATTCCAGTGACCCTTTGGATTTTGGTATCAGATTTTTCATCCTTTCTTAGAATACTTCCCAGATATTTAAATTTATATACATACTCAATTTCTACATCTTCAATTTGTAGTTTGGATTTTGGACTTGTAGAAATCAAGCAAGTACATAAATTTAAATATCTGGGAAATGTTCTAACAGAGGATGGAAAACGTGACACAGAAATAGATTGAATTTTTTTTTTTTTTACAGCTTGTCAACCTTTTTGAAATAGCAAAAGATGCCTTCCAAAAGCTAAGCAATGTATTAAGAAATAGGAAAAAATTGTTAGAAACAAAGAAAAGAGTATTAAACTTTTATGTAATATCACTCTTCCCTGATACCAGGGAATATTGGATAATCTTCTTACAGATGAAGTAAAGACTTGAGGTAACAGAAATGTGGTTTTACAGATGGCTACTGAAACTCCCATGGACTAAACATGTCATTAATTAGGAAGTCTTAGGGGAAAATAGAAATAAAAAGGGTGCTTATACTGAGAATCAGAAAGAGAAAGATGGAATTTCTAAGACACATAAAGGAAGCCTACAGAAAGAGGGCCAAGACAATTTGACATTCACAATATATATTGAAGAGAAAGAGAGGAAAACAGTGCATAGCCTACTTAACAAGCTTGTGTAAATGGATTCAAGAACAGGGATTGGGAGAAATAATAAAAAGACAACTCTTGCTAAGAGCTACAAAGGGTTGGAAGTTGTGGAGATCCATTATTACCCATGTCCTGAAAGGATACAGCTTATAGAAGAAGAAAAGCTTCTAGATCATATTGCAGCTGAAAGATGTTTCTAATGTTCCATTCTTGGACATTTCATGTGAGCAATGAGGAAGTTTTAAAGAATATTCAAAGTAGAATTACACTTATACTTAAAATCAGAAAGAGAAAGTTGTAATTTCTGGGATACATTATAAAAAAAGTGTTGGAAAGTTCAACACTCACAGGACATACCAAAGGAAAGAGTGGCAAAAGGTAACCTACTTAATATGTCTTGGTGAATGGCTGGCAGAGCAAGGGCAAAGAAGGATGTTAAAGAGTCAGATGTTGCTTAGAACAACAAGGGATGTGATGCTGTGGAGAACCGTGATCACCTATGTCTTGAAGAGGCATGGACATAAAAGAAGAAAAAAATTTCACTGGGGAAAAAATTCAATAAATGTCTTCATTCATTTTATGCATGCAATAATCTAATATTTAATTTATATAACATTGTAGCAAACAAGCCACATTCCTTCTGTATTCCATTGTCAAGAAGTAAGTTCCACTTGAACAGCGTCTTCTCATGAACAGACTCCCAAGAGGATGTTTCTCTGAACACTACAATCTTAACCTGTTCAAGTCTAGAGTTAATCGTTATCTTCCCCTCCTATCCATATAAACTATCCCTTAACATAACCCTCTATCTCGAGTGGCTCCCGGGCCTTTTACAGGATTAACCTTACTGTAAAAAAAAAAAAAAGAATGCAATCATAAGAATGTACAGGTGGAATGAGAAATCAAAGAGCTGAGTTCAAATTCTAGTTAGGTTTGTTTCATTCACTTATGTGCAAATATCCTTGGGAAAGGTATGAGTCCATTTCTCTCCCCAACTATGGGTTAAATAGTAGAACAGATTGGGCTCTTTAGCCTTGGTTGGCAACCAGTCTAGGAGAAGGATGACCCTGAATTCAAAAACTGTATGTAACCCCGTACTATATACAGCTAATGAAAGTATTATAGAGTTAACAAGAACTATGATCCCAACTACGATAATGTAATTAATATATTTTATTGTTAGTCTATTTTATAGAACTAATAACCATCTATATCTTTTCATGATGAGATGATTGCTTTACACTTTATATATGGACTTTGTAACACATTATTTTAATTATTTTTTGTTCCCAAACTATAGTGTAATGACTAATAAGCTAATTTAGCATAACATTACTACTGTAGTGAGTTCAACCCTTAATGATTACTCCATATTTGAGGCCTTATTCCAAACCAAGTTAAGTTTAATAAATGTTAATAAAAAGCAAAGACTTTAAAGAGAAAATTTTTCTTTTGATAAGTCAGTCTCAGAGAAGCTATTTACAAACTTATATATCTATATATAAAATTCTGTGATTTCTGTTAGACTGTCCATCACACCCTCTAAAGTAGCCATACATTACCAACTAAAACCAAATTTTGGGGAGAAGTGCAAACAGGTAATGGGAATACAAAGTACAGTTGGTTTTACTAGGGTGTGTAGCTTAGTACAATAAATTTTCATGAATTTTTGATGCAGAATTAAGAGTTTTATTATTTAACATACAAAATACTCCCACTATCTTAAAAACAATCCAATGATTAAAATAACAAATGCTTATTTAATAAAAATGCAATATTGTTTTTTGTATATCCTCTCTTTAGGTTTTTTATATATACAAGAATCCAGTTTCCAGTTTGCCCTGCGTTTGTGAGAACTATTAACAAATCACAAAGTCAAATGCTTCAAAAAGTTGGAATTTGACTCCAAAAACAAATATTTATGCATGGCCAGTTGTATGTTGCATGCTCAACAGTAAGAAATCCTGAGAATTTATTCTTCACTGTTAAAAAGGGAAAAGGAAAAAGAAATTTTCTTAAAATTATTGTTTACCATAAAGTCCTATATAATTAAATTAAAAAAATTATTAAAGTGTGAAGTAGGATTTTTGTCAAAGTATTTTTCCAAACAAATGAGCTTATTTAAATGCCAAAGATTGGTTTGCAAAAATAAGACGAAATTTAGCGTTTGTAAATCTTGACAAAAAATGTTAGCAATAGCTTCAACAATTCTAAATATACTGTGAGGGTTTCAACATGCATGCAAAAAAATTCTAGTTTATTAATAATTTCCTTTGATCCATTAAATTTATTTAAGCTAATGAATTAGTTGGTGATCAGATTCCATCTCCAGAGAGAAATGAATGAACATTATTTCATATGCTTTTGGCTAAGACTAACCTTTTTTTGTTAAATATACAAGAAGTTATCAAATTCCAGGCTCGAGAGCCACGCAAGGTAGATTTTTACTGCTAAAATGGTAATGATGAATGAGGTGCATGATATGATTGAAAGAGGAGCTGGTAGGAAGTGAAGACTGATGATAAAAAGAATAGATAACAATTGACCCTTGACTTGAAGTGGTTAACATTGTAGTATTTAGGGAAGTATTTGTGGTGAACATTGTAGTATTTAGGGAAGTATTTGTGGTGAACATTGTAGTATTTAGGGAAGTATTTGTGGTTAACATTGTAGTATTTAGGGAAGTATTTGTGGTTAACATTGTAGTATTTAGGGAAGTATTTGTGGTGAACATTGTAGTATTTAGGGAAGTATTTGTGGTGAACATTGTAATTTTTAGGGAAGTATTTGTGGTTAACATTGTAGTATTTAGGGAAGCGCCCATTTGGGAGTGGCAGATCTTATTTATATTTTTTTCTTTTTTTTAATGTTATTGAATATTTTAATTTCCTTTTTAGGTAATGAATTTGGTCATCCAGAATGGCTGGACTTTCCACGTCGGGGTAACAATGAAAGTTACCATTATGCAAGGCGCCAATGGAACCTTGTTGATGACACCACCTTAAAGTATCGATTCCTCAATAATTTTGATGCTGCTATGCTTCATCTCGAAGAGCAATACAACTGGTTAGACTATGCCCCTGTAAGTAATTATGATATAAAATTTTATGTGTGTGTGTGTGTATGTATGTATATATATATATATATATATTGCTTTGTAGACAGGCTTACTTATTTGTTCCAGTCAATATCTGCATGAGGAACTTTGTAGCATTTTAATGTTTCTTGCCTAAAAATCATATCAAAAGTCATTTTTATTACTGGCATGTAGCAAAAATTCTTCTTGTATCTGGCTACTGGGATTATCTATAAAGAAAAATAATTAGCCAGGTTCCTTTTTTTTTAGTTCAGTTAAGACAAAGTAAATCAACACCATCCTTCATTTGCATTTGTGAATCAGCTAATCATACATAGTGACTAGAGTTATATGCTAACCAAACTTTATTTATTTTTCTCCTAAGTAATATATCAACATAAATATTTTCTCTATATTTAAAATCAGTGATTTTGGTTTAATGTAGGCTCAGAGAACTTCACCTGTTATGATTCAACAGTTAATTTCAGTGCAGATTAATATGTCTGTCTTTTTTTCTTTTTTTTTTTTTTTTGTTTAATAGTAAAATTCAACCACTACAAGTCTTGAGAGCCACTCAAGGATAATGATGATTGGGGTGTGTGTTATGAATGAGAGGAGTTGTTAAGAAGTGAATATTATGAAAAAGAATAGATAACAATGTGATCAGAAAAGTTTAAAGTAGGGTTTGGAGGAGAATTTGTGCAAAAGACTGTTTCACAAAGTGGCTATTCTTGAGAAAAAGCTGTCTGAGAGGAACTTTCATCTTATCTTTGGAACACAGAGGAAATGAGGGTGTTTCAACTCTGTGAAAGTAGCATGTTGCATTCTAACTGTAAAGGTCTGAATTGGTGGAACTCACCCAAACATTTATCATGGCTTTCAAACAAGTGTCTGTAGGAAAGAGCAGTTACAGAATGGAGAATAAGTTTTCTCTCAAAAGACCTGTAAACAATTTTGAACTCTTAAGACTGGAAAGTGAGGAGTTAGCAGCTCCATCCCAGCTATAGCAACGTTACGTCATTTTGGTCTAATCTGACTCTTGTAAAGAGAAAGCATAGCAGCAGGATTCAGGTATTTCTTGGAGCAATAGGATAAGCCAATTTGTTTTCCAGAATGTAAACATTTAATATACAAAAAACTATTTTAAAAATGTTTCATAACTAAATGTATACTTTTTAAAAAAAAAAATTGTCAGTGTTGAAGATGTTTCTTGTTGTATATGTTGTGTGTGTATATATATATATATATATATATATATATATATAGTGAATGAGGAGCTTGTTATATCCTCTTCCCATTTCTTCAAAGGAAATAATTACAAAGAGCAAATGTTTGTGCTTAAAGAATATTCTTTTGATGCATGGCATTTTTATTTTTGTTAAAATAACCAAAGATTTGTTTGTTACTCTGTATGCATTTGACTACAATAAACTTTGGTCATCATTCCTTATATAAATATTGATCACAAGAATAAATATTTTTCATCATTAAATCGTTTTATGACTCCAATTCTTTATATGTATCCAGCTTTAGTGAAAGATGAATTTTCTTTTTAGCAAAATGAAACATCTAGTTGATTTACAATTTTATTTATTGATGTTACTTTCTTTTAATTATTCAGCTTATCACCAAGTTATATATATATATATCATCCACAGACAGACTGTTTCACTGTATCACAGCTCATCAGTGTGGCTAGACATGAAATTGCTTCAAGCCAGGATTGAAACCTGACTGATTTGACATCAGTCGGAGTTTCTCACCCTTAGGCTATCAGTGGAGAAAGGGAATTTTTTAATGCATTATATACAAGATATAAGCATTACTGGCTACCAGAGTGCTCAATTCATAGTGAAGAGCTTTTAGCGTTAATTAGCAGCAGCTGACAAATTCCCTTTCTTCCAAAGTGTTCAACTTATTTAGTCAGCAAGTATTTCATTCAAACAAGTTTGATTAAAAAGAACCAACAAGTTCTGTCTGTTTATTTTTTTGTTGTATTTTACCAATTTTCAGATTAAGTGTTGAGTGTTATGATCAGAATTGTGGATAAATTCTCTGATGTTCAAGTTATGATGTTATTTTTTGTTTAAGTACTTTTGACTGGTTCAGTGATTTTCAAGAACTAATGTTTCTGTGTGGTAGGCAGAAGTCCTTTGTTTACAATAAAGTGTTTAACTCCTACCAAAAGAGCTGGTGTGCTGTACAGATTTTATTGTGTGCATTAATTCCATTATTAAATTATATAAAAAAGACAAACTTTTCTTTGCTTGTGGTAGATATGAAGAACAGTAGCAAATATTAACTCACTGATGTGCCATGTGTGATAAACGCTTAGGCAATCATATATCTTTTTGGTACATGACTGACGAGGCAGATTTTTTCCCACAGTAGTTTGCCATTTCTTTCTATGGTAGACCAGTTGCCATCCAAGGCTATAGAACCTGATCTGTCCTGCTATTTACCCATAGCTGGAGGGAGAAGAAAAGGATTCATACCTTTCCCAAGCATATTAGCATGTAAGTGAATGTAATGGATCTGACTGGAATTCGAACTTGGCTCTCCGATTTCTCAATCTGAGCCACTATCCATTACTCCACTGTACCTCCTATTAACTACTGATTCTTTTTTTTGACCTAGCCAATTATAGAAAATAATGACACAAGGGATAATGATGTAATATAAAAATAAATATTGAAAAAATGTTGAAAATAAAAGGCAATATATATTTTTAAAATCTCAGACAGTTACCTAAAATAAAGCGAAAAACAAAATCTTTTATATTATTTAATTACTGGATTTACTTTTCTTTTGTATTGTTATTATTTGTATCTCAATATTGTGTTAATATTTTGTTCACCCAATAGAAAGAAAGTATCATCTACTTCATTGTTTAGAATATTGCTCTAAATAGATATATTTTTGTACCTTATCACAATTGTGTAAATTTTCTTCCTGTCTCTTTCAAAGATGGACGTATTGTCTGTTTATTTGACTTTGTTTAGCTTTTTTTTTTTTTTTTTTTTTTTCCATTTGTTCAGTTTGTCTCTTCAGTAATTTTAGTATCAATTTTAGGATTATAACACCTCAAGATTTGGTAACCGGGTAAGGTTGAAGCACATATGCAATTTTTTTTTTTTTTTGACTTGTTTGTTGTTGTTGTTGTCTCTGAATAATTTTTCTTTCTTTTTATAAGATTAACCTTTCTCTCATTTCATGTGCATTTATTTTTGCTTGTTTTAATTTTGTTTCTCCATTTGTTTGATTTTTGCTTTTTCAATTACCAACCATTTTCTTAATGTCTATCTAAAGGCAAGTCTAATCTGCAGGTTTTGTTATAAGGTAACAAAAGGATAGTCATGTCTTCCATAATTACTTCCATGCTGAAGACGTAGCATTGTGCCTTGGATTAGCAGCTGGTTTAGATGCTGCTTCTTGGGTGACTGCCAGTGTAAGATGCAGGAAAAGTAGTATGATTGAAGAATGACCCCCTTTTGTTAAAAAAAATTACAGACGATGAAAAACAGTTGAAGGAACCATACTGGTTTATTTATGTGTTTCAGTAGCAATACAAGACAGTTGCTACTAGATTTTGTGAATGAAGAAAGTGAAGAGTTTCAAATAAGACTCTCTGTTCATAGGGTGGACTGGTTTGCTGGAAAAACAGTTCCTCTTTTATGGAGCTTGTACTCCTTTCTCCTGACAACTTGATTAGAAAAAGTCATAAATTATAGTTTGCAGCCCACACTCATCCCAGACCAAAATATTTTGGTTGTAACTGATTGGATATAGATAAGAGTGTCACCCATAAGTGGCATGCTTAATGAAAATGTCCTTCTTCCACTCTCAGATTGTTTAATGAGCATCATCATATATCACTACAAAGAAAATTTTTCATACAGAAAATGAAATTGTCAAACATCCTTATCTTTGTTCTTTGCATCAAAATGTTTTGCCAATGTATATCTAAAGAAGGCAAGGGACCATACCACTTGAATTATAATGAACAAAGATGAAGATGCCGGTCACATACAAAAAAGAAAAAGGCAAAAAAAAAAAAACAAGAAGGTGCTAAAGATTTCTTGGTTTAACCAAAGAGGCATTCTAAAAAGTTTTAATGTTTGCTCATTTGGTCAGAGTTTGAGGAAATTAGTTGAGCTGAGAATTTTTCAGCACCTCTTCATATATAATCCTCAGAATTTCAGATATGAATGATGGATTAAAATCTGTTGCTGTATCAGATGAATTGTTTGCATTTTATGTATAGAACAAGAATGCATACAATTCTCATTTCTACACTTATTGCAAAAGGAAACGTTAAATGACACTACAGACTTGGAGAAATTTACTAGAAATACATGGCTTATAAACTGTGTTGACTGATTTGCTAAGAAGAATAGTACGAAATTATAGTTTCAAAATACTATAAACAAAGACGTGGTTTTCTTAGTCATCAGCACTTGCAGCCTCCATTATCTATCTGATTTTGGCTGCTTAAGTTTATCTGACTTTGAGACGACAAAATAATTTTAAAAACTAAATATCTTGGTTGTTCAGCATTAAAGTGAAGTGTTTATATATTTCCTGCTATTATCTTTTGAGTGTTTTTTATCAATATAACAATCATTTAGTCTTGCAATAAAATTCAGTACTTTTGTATTTGGTTATTAATACTAATAAAATAACATTCATGAAAACTCTCTTAACATCCACTATACTTTTATGATTGGATATTGAAGTTTCAAAGTTAACATATTTATTTGTATTTTATATACAGTTTGTAAATATGAAAAATTGTTTGTCAGCATTTGTTTATAACTCATGTCAATATTTAACCTTCACTTAATAAGCTTTTATTTTTATATTATTTAAGGTGGGTAAATATTAAGTTTGAAGCATTGATGAAAGCATTGGTTTTTATAGAATGGATTAAGCAATTAGTAAATAAGATGTTTAGTTTATTTTTTAATATTATTTAAGATTAGGTTGAAGGCTATAGTGCATTGGTCATCAACAATTTTTGTTAAGTATATAATAAAATTTTCTAATATATTTTCCTTTTAAATAAAAGAAAGAAAAGCTCAATGTTCCTATTCTTGAGAAAGAAGTTTTAAACAATTTCCATAATGTAACTAGTGTAAATACTGATAACTCCTCATCCTAGAAATTCAGACAGAACCTTTCAATAATTTTAATGCAGAACATTAAATCAAATGGTACAAGGTTAGAAACTCACTACCTTTTGTTTTGGGTTTATAAAAATAGTTATCTTGCTGAAAAAATAGCAGTGGTTAATCTTGTAAAATCTGCATTAATCACTGAATCTAAAAAAATGTGTCTTTTGTGCAACTTTGCAGTTTTGATATTTGTTTGTTTGTTTAGACTAAAATTTTCATTCATGTTTTTTTATGGTCATGTTTATTTTGTTTCAAATATGAAATAACTCCTTATATATTGTGTAGTTAAAAGAAAGAAGCAAGGCATTTTTTTTAATTAATTGTTTAGTTATGTGTTATGACAACTTTTTATTCAGTGGGAGCTAAAAAAAAGCACTGCGCAAGTGGGATGAACAAATTGCATTTTGAGTTTGTTTTAACCTCATACTACAAAATATTTATACATTTTATGCTAGCCAGCAATAAACTATCTAATTTTAATTTATCAGCTCAAGTGTAATTGGGTATAATGCTGAAAATAACATTTTATGTTCTCATAATGTTCATCAAATTGTAACATAAATCTGTTGTTTGTAATTAAAAAGAATATGTTGCTTCTCTTCATTTCTCTCCATTGTATTTCAGCTGAACATCTAATACTGTCAATAATTGTTCACTGTGTATATAAAACCTATACAAGTGTTGTCTACTGATATATAAACTCAACATTTGTACCTTCCTTAGATCCATTTTCTCTTGCTCTCAATTTGTAGGTGTAATGTTGCAAAGTTTGATTTTTCTTTCAAGAAATTCACTTGTCAATCTTGCTTTGATGATACATTTTGCACAGTGATTTGTTTTTTGGTTAGGTCAATATCACAAGGAGTAGAGAGGTTCACTTATTGTCCTGTTCAAACTCCACCCCAGTCTTTTGAACAGGAATAAAGGTTTATCCCTTATTTCTTGTTTATGATTGGGTTTCCACTTCCTTTTAAAGTTGTTTCATTTTTTTTTTTTTATTTACTCCCAGTAGCCCCTTGCATCTTAGTGTCATTATCGCCTTGTTTGGGATGAATTGTTAAAAAAATAATAATACGCTTTATAGAATTCTGTTGAAAATAGCTGCAATCAACTTCTTGCAAAGATCAGGAGAAAATAAATCTATGGATGAAATCAGCCCCCAAGTGTTTGTCCTTCACACCAATGCTGAATTTGAAGAAGAAGAATGTTGTTCACTCAAAAAATGTTTGGTCCCAACCACAAATCAGCTTTGATTGGCCAATGTTCATGCATTACTGTTTCTATGCAAATCAGCATCACAACCCCTATGCAAATCTTGGCAACAGTGCCATCTGCATTTTTTCACTACCCTCTGCAAACTGCTAATTATAAAAGAGGGCAACTCATGTTGAAGAAAGTATGAACTGGTCAACAAATGCTTCAAGGGTGAAACTGATTGTTCCTGTTGCACCAGACGCATCCAAGTTCGTGTTCCTTCTACTTACCTGATTCATTTCTACACCTATTTTCTTTCTTTCAAAACCTGTGAATCTCTTCAAATCTAAAACCTATCAAATTTGTATCTGTTTTAAGAAACAACCATTCAATCGAATTGGCATTTGTTTGAGGAAAATTATTGTTATATGAAGTGACATAGTATGTTTAGAAATGTTGAATAACCCTGAAAACTATGTCACTCAGAAAATGTTTGAATGTAAAACATGAAAATAATTCTTAAGAACACAATTTTTAGCATGCCAATGTTTGACTAACAAATGTGATTAGTTTAAAATGTTCTGTAATGGTTGAAATAGATAATATGCAAATTATTCATTCCATGAATATTTCAGAAGATTAATAAACTTTTGACCAAAATAGGTTTGAAAAATATCACAACAAATTTGAAAAAATATATTGTTTAATTACATATTCAGTAAATACAGGATGTGGCAAAAATATCTCTCACATAATGGTAAGACATTAGTGGCAATGGTGTCTTCATCTAGCTAATGTTTTATCATTATGTGGAAGGTATTTTCATATTCTACCAGAGTGTAATATCTACACTCCCCACCCCCAATGTTACTCATTTAATAATGCAGTGAAATTATCTTTTTATTCATTGACCTTAATTTTTCCTAACTATTCTTAAACCAATTCAAATCCTGAATTGATAGAGGGACTCAAAATAATTAGACCAAAGATATTGAAATATTGACCCTTTTTTCTTTTTTTTAAATTAGAGAATATATTTTATTGCAATGTGATTTGCATTATGATAACAGCTAATGTATACTTTTATGGTTGGATTTTAAAATATTTCTTTTTTTATGTGTTGATTGGAAGTGTTTAAATTAATTAACACATTTGAACTTCTGATGCTTTCATTTTATTTTATTAATTCTAATAAACTTCTTTAACTTGCATGTACTTAAGAAATGTTTATATTTTAAATTTTAATTTACATAGAAATTAAATTTGGTTTTAAATATAAAAACATGTTTCATAGGAATTTGTTGGTTGCCTTTTTTAAAAAAAAATTATTAAATCTTTAAATTATTTAAGCATTATATTTAGGATTTTTCTTATGTGTCTATAAATACAAATTCAGAGAGACTGTACTTGACACCTATTGAGCAGAACAACAATTCTTTCTCCTTGTGTTTTGGTAACAAAGAAATTAATCATTTTCATCATAAAATGACTTGTTTTTTTATTGTCCCAGTTGTTGAATATTTGTAATTATTTTTTAAAATTATTTAATTAATATGTACCTTGTAAATAACTGAGCAAAATGAATTTATTTTTAAAGTAATTATAGAAGAGAGTGAATAAGTAAAGTTTGATCCTATGTAGTAAGCATATTTCAAAATGGTGACCTGCATGGTTGATAGGAACAGATGTCACTATTTGTAATAGAAAACTAATGTAGAAGAAACATATTTTATTCAATAGAATATTATATAAAAAACAGTACATGGAGATTTATTAGTTTTTGTGCAATATCTTGCTTATTGGAAAATCAAAGCAAATTCTTTTGTCAGTGAGAAGAAAAATTTACAGATTGAATGTTATTTTTACTAAATGGGAAATTATATTTTCAATGAAGTTTTGCCATTTTTAATTGTTATAATAGATGAAAATATACTTTTAATAAATTTTATTCATATTTGTACATATATTCTAATTAAAATGTAAATTTAATATTCATTTATACTGTGTAATTTATTTCAAATTTATTCCAAATTTTAATCCAAATATTTTACTATCACTTCTAATTGCATCTGACTTTAACATTGGATTATCCTATTTTCTCTTCTAGAATTTTATCAGTCGGAAAGATGAGGGTGACAAAGTGATTGTCTTTGAGATAAGGAATGATCTTGTATTTGTATTCAATTTTCATCAAAGCAAAAGCTACACAGACTACAAGATTGGTGTCCAGAACCCAGGAATGTATCCTTTGCCATTTATTTTTCTTTTTTTGTTTTCAATTTTATAATTGTTGATCTGGGTAAATTTTCGACAATTGTTTTACATTTCAAAGTGTTAGAATGTACAATCTAAACAAATGACTGCTAAAAAATTAGTAATACAATTCCAGAGAAATATGAATTAAAATTGAGAAACATTTTGCTTATATGAATTAACTAATAACTATAAAAAAAATTATAATGCTCAGCATATACTTTTATAACAAAGAAAAATAATTGTCTATCTCTTTCTATAATTTAAAATACATAAGTGCATAGGGAGTGCAGGGAGTAAAAACAGTACTTAATGCAAAAGAACAGCTTTAAAATATATTATTAACTTAATACATGATAACATATTTTTATAATAAAAAATACCAGCAAAACATTTTAATATAAAAATAACCAGTAATACATTTTCATAGTAGAATTACCAACAATACATATTTATTTTTTATCTGTAGTTGAAGTTTAGTCTATAATAACCCTACAGCTACACAACTAAATCCTCTACAAAAAAACAATGTAGTATATCAATTTACATACCAGTTCAGAGATTGTATCTCTGATACTAATAATAAACGCACTACATATATTGGTTTTGCTACAACCACACTCTCCCATAGACTTACCTGTCACCTTTCTGATCTTAGTTCTATTAAACAACATTTCTTAGAAAAACATAGCCATGTACATAATATTAGACAGATATTAGTTTACAATATTTACACATACACACAGTAAAAAGAACCTTAAGATATTGGAAGCCCTCTACATTAAAACAAAGCAACCCACACTCAACAAAATTACATTTCAAACTAGTTACAACATATTATATTGCATCTAGACATATGGTTCTGTTGTTAATATTTTGTTCTCTCACGTGATATGATGTCATAGAACCATATCATGAATCTATGACCTGCATCTGCTATTCTATGACTGTTATCGTCACATAATAATCTTCTATGTCAACATAACAGAATATCATCTTTGATGGTGAATATCTTTGTTTAAATGTCCATATAACCACTCTGAAGATGGTTCATGTGAGCTGAAAGCTTATATCAAGAAACAGCTTAATAAGAAAAGTTCCAAATTTTGTAAAATTAAAGGAACTATATGAAGTTTATAACCTCCCATGATCAAACATAATAGACATTCGTTGTTTGTTACATTCAACAATATATGTCTGAATAATGATCTTCTACCCCATACACTAAATATATATATATATATATATATAATGGACTCTCCCACGGTTTCGATGTATGAGGATCTGCCAGCTTATTGATTCAGTTATGAAAAATATATATATATATATATATATATATATATATATATATATATATAGAGAGAGAGAGAGAGACATCAAAGATAAAATTTCTTGAATGAATTGATGCTACTAAGAATTTAAATATTTTTAATTTTTAGCGAGTTATTGCCCTTTGATTTGAACTTTATCTTAAGAGTTATTGCACTTCATTTTGCTAAACATACCAATTTAAATTTCTAAATGAAGAAAAATAAACGTATGAAATCAGAATAGATCATATATTTGCAAGACTATCCCTGACAAAATTAAATTTAAATTATTATACATCAAATGTTCATATTGTATAAGTTTAACCTTAAATAAAAGGCAGGTCATTTTAAATTTTTAATTTAAAACAATTATAAATTCAGGTATATAAGCTAATAATATTCATGATTTTCAGTAATTCATTTGTTTTAAAACTTATAATTAGTTTTATTATTTAAATCATAATTTTTAGAAACTGTATGTGTTGGTAATAATTTGGTGTGAAATACCAAATTTCTGTAAATTACTCAGTATTGAAAGATGATTCTGTCAGTACATTTATATAAATTGACCAGTGATTTTTTATATTTTTCATATATAACTTCTCATTTAGATGTTTATCTACTGAAATCAATTTTCAAAAAGCCAAATTTTTATTATCACTAAACTGAAAATCTCTATTAAAGAAGTGATTCCCACCCTAAAAATAGCCACTTGTTTATATTGTGTAAATTGTAATTGTATAAATTAACTTTGGTTATTAGTCTATTGGAAAGTAAAAGAGAATATTGGTTTTGTCTCTAATCAATAAGAAAAATGTCACTTTTTTTCCTAACATGCACAGAAGCTGTTGCATGTATGAATAAACTCATATATTTATACTTGAAAAACTTTCATATGCGTCTTTTGTGAATTTATTCTTAGTTATAAACAAAAGTTAAACTGGTAGGCCAAATGGAGTGGACATTGCTTAAAGCATTTAAACAGTATTGTGATAATAAAAGTTCTGCCATGATGTTCTGTTTTTGCTGTGGTATGCTATCAATTTTTGGCATAATATTGACATAACATTGACAGAAGCTGCTGTATGTAAGAAAAAGCTTAATTTATTTATACTTTAATACATTATCTCCCAAATATCTTAAAGTTGATTTTGGGTTTTTAAATATATATATATATATATATATATATATATATATGTGCTGTTTAGTTTCATTAATTTGACCTTGACTCTGTACTTAGATATAAAGTTATTTTGGATGCTGACAGTGAGGAGTTTGGTGGACACAAGCGATTGGATGTAAGCACTGAATATCATACATTCCCAGAACCCTGGGATGGTCGAGAAAATCACATGTATGTAAGTTGCTTTCTTCTTATTTGAATTGGCAGATTTTTTTTTCTCTTTTAAGGAAGTTGGAAAGCTGTTGTTCATAGGTAAATATAATGACTTTGTTTTATATGATCTTACACTTAATTCCTCCTGAGGTTAAACCCACTAAGTTCCAGATCTTTCATGAATATCCTTTTCAATGTCAGCTTTGAGCTGTTCAAGATTTCTGCTGTTTTCAATGTTCTGTTTACATCAATCAATAACTTTCTAATATTTGTTTGTCTTTTGTGGTTATATCCCATGTTATTCTTTCATGTGGGAGAAATTAGAAAATAACATCAAAACCTATATTATTATATTTATTTACAATATGCTGCACAACCCTCAAGTTACTCAATAAAATCTTACACCACCAAATAAGTTATTGTAAATATAGTGGACTCTCCCATCGTATTGATTACTTTTGGAATATATACCAATGCCTGGTGAGGATGCCAATACCAAAACATTCAAAACCTTTCCTGGTGTACGACAAAAGGCAGAAATGAGAACCCCAATCTATTTAATCCCTTTCTAGATTATACTCTGTGAATATACAAGCATAGATGTAAAGAGATTGGCACTGATCACTTAAACATTCCATACTGTATTTCAAATGAATCTATAATAGAAAATAGGATTCCTGCTTCCCCTCCCAAGTCCAATTCACAAAGAATATTGGGGATGCTATGTAAATGACATAAGCATTCATAGTTGAGATAAGAATGGTCTTGAACAAAAAATCAACATTCTCTACCAAGTATTCTAAGAAATAGAACAAGATAGACCTTTCCAAAACAGAAACAATGATGTGGAATTGGAATGAAAGCAGTGATGATAATTACCATGAATCCTTCATAAAAGTCCAAGATGTGGAATTAGTAAATACCAAATGCTTCAAATACCTCAGTGTATGGATCAGTTATAAAAAATTTAGTATAAGAGATAAGGTATTTGGACATAGAATAGGCTGTGCCAGGGTTAGTTTTGCCCAACAAGGATGGCTGCTTTAAAACATTAAGTTAAAAATTTGAGTCATGTTCTTAAAGGTGTGGAGGCTATCAAGATGGGTATAATGAAGAAGGTGAGGAGCACCCAAGAAGAATTCTTCCAGCAGTGTATAGAAGAATGGCAGAGAAGGATGGAAAAGTGCATTAAACTTGAGGATGATTACTCTGAATGGGAAACTGTATAGTTTGAAACTGTAATAAATTGTTTGCTCCCCATTTTATATATATATATATATATATATATATATATATATATATATATATATATATATATATATATATAATTTAAAAACTAGGTAATCCATATGGTTAGACCCAAGGAGGATGATATCCAGAGAGCTCAATGTAAATTCAGAACAAATAAATTTGAATAAAAACAGACCACTTTAAGGCTTACAACCACACACATATATATGTGGTTGTAAGCCTGCTTAAATGGGAAACTGCTTGAGAACATTAGGTACTCTAAGCAACCTCCTAAAATATGAAATATGTTTTAGCCTGAAATAATCCATAAAAAACAAATCAATCAATCTTCCTTATTGCTCACATGCTTTGTCCATGGTATTTGCAATGCACTTCTGTAGTGAGGAAATTGTCCATCATTCACTGACATTTAGGAGGACTGAAAGAAATTTATTTTTTAATTTTTCTTTCCTTGTTTGTGTTTTGCGTGTGTTTTCAGTTTAATAAAAATGTATATATCATATTCACTTAAGTATAAGCCTGCTACATGTAGAGTTCAACCCATGAATTTTTTGTGGAAAAATCCTGATTTTTTTTCATATAGCTCATGTCTAATACAAGCCCAGATTCTGAGTAATACTAGTAGGCCTACCATAGTCAAATATTGCAGTACTGGGCATCATCCTGAACATATTTTATAGCAAACAAATCTATGCTAAAATGGTGAGAAAAACAACTTACCTTAAGATATCCGATACAAAGATTTGGATACTTTATTTTTGTTTTCACTTATGACTGATTTTTAACCTCTTCAAAAAACATTACCTGTATATAATGCAACTCCTTATTATTTTGCATAAAACTGATCATAAAAACTCACACTATACTCAAGTATATATGGTAATAAATTTCAATTTCAATTTGAAAGCTTTAAAATACTATAATTAAAAAAGATAATTTTAAAAGTCCAAATTCGAAATGAATATTTTCCATCCATGTTTGTTTTTATTAGATTAATATTAATCTTTATTTAGCTTTAAAAATATTCCTTTGTCATTAGAAAATTCTTGCCTATAAATTTATTTTTTTTTTATATTACAGATTTATCTTCCCAGTCGTACTGCATTTGTTCTTCATAAAGAGAGATAAGTGTTTGTTTTTCTCTCTTTCCACCTGCAGGTACGCATATCATTTTAAGTGTATGCAGACATTGGGGACTTGCATAAGAGATTCACCTATAGTGCAGGTGCAACAAGTTTAAGTTTATGAAGGTTATAAAATTTCAGAAACTTTGTTAAAAAATGTGTTGCAATACACAGAAAACTGTTGATTAGAATAATATAAGCTTTGAATTAAAAGTATGTGTAATGTACAATTTAGAGAAACTCTTCCAAAAGATGATTTTGGTATAATGAAAATATTTTTGCAACTAAATTCATCATAAAAAATAATTTCCATTTTAAAATGGTATTCAAGAATCTGAGAAGCATTAAAGATGAAATTGAAGTAATTTCTTTAGGCTACATATAAAAAGTTGAATACTTTGTTTTAGAAAATAAATTTTAAAAAATGTTTGATTACTACATGTTATGCTGAATCAGATAAAAAGCAGTTTTTGTTAAAACTTTTTTTAAAAATTCTTGTTTTTGAGAAATATTATTTCTCTGGATTTGTTATTTTTTAAAGTCCAACATTTTCATTAGTTTGATTTTTAACCGTCATCAGTAGATATGATATTGTTTGCCAGTTGTGTTTCTTTTTTTTTTTTTTAGCATAGCAAATTTACTGACCTGTCAGAGTCAATTTAAAATTGTATCTACATAATACATAGCAATCAATGTACTTGTATGTGAACAGGAGACTGATATGTAAGGCATTAGCCATCCAGTTTAGTATATAGGGATAGTAGTCCAAAATTACTCTGGTTAGGCATGCAGCTTGTGGATGATCAGATATAGGAGACATATATATGTATATATGTGGATGTAAACATGTCATCTGATGAAGGTTGAAGTATTTGATGTAATATATATATATATATATATATATATATATATATATATATATAATGTTAATCTAAACAAATCTCAAGTTACAGTATTTTTTTGTTCTGCTCATCGTGACCTTTACTCAAGGCATGATGTTAGTCTTAACACTGGAAATTTATGATTACAAAAATATTCCTTTTCTTTTAAATATCTGGGAAAATAAAAATTTTGCAAAAGAAAAAAAAAACAAAATAATAAATTTAACAAAACTATTTTTGTTTCTTTTTTAAATTTAGGGAAATAACTGGTATTTTGAAAAAAAATATTATTTTGATATATTTCATATATTTGAATAAAATATTAGAACAATTTTTCTGGTTTATTCTTTATTTTCTGTTTTAATGCAACACAAACATTGTTCAACAATCAGGCTAATGTTTATTTTTTTTTAATACAGTGCTCAATATCCTTTAGATAGAGCCACATACATATATTTATGCATTTAAGGGATTTTCAAACCAATAATATTTTATTACTATAATTTTTTCAGCAAAAAAAGTGCAGTTTCCATTCCTGCAAATATGTATATTTTCCTTAAGACATTGCAGATAAACATTAATTTCACTGTTTTAAATAAATGGGGATATTTATTCAAACAGATGTTCACATTAAAGTAATATTTATAGCAATAAGGATATTGTCATATTGAAAAATGATCATTTATTGCTTAAATTACTTTGTCCACATTTCATCTACAAAAATATAAATTAACAGACAAAATCACTGAAAAATCCTAGTGGGAAATGTACATTTTGATGATCTGATGTCACAGATATTAATTTCACTGTTTGAGTAGATATCCATGTTTATTTACAAACATGTTTGACCACAAAAATAACTTTTGCTGTAATGATATATAATGTAAAGTGGTTATAATAAAAATGTCTACTCAAACATGTATGACCACTAAAATAACTTTCTTCAACAAAATTCTTCAATGTGCAGAAATTGTCAGGATCAAATCCATCATCTGACAATGCCTTCTACGCTGGGTTGGACATGTTGTGTGAATGTCGAGCCATTGCCTCCCGAAAATAGTATTCTTCTGAGAGCTCATAACTGGCAACCGCCCACGTGGAGGCCCAAAGAAATGATTCTGAGACTATCTTAAGTATACTCTTGTCTCCTGCAACATTGACCCAACACAATTAGAGAACCTCACAAGAAATCAGCTGGCAATCTCTGCATTGCTAGACTGGTGCAATTTGAGGAGGAGAGACAATGAGCGCTTGAGGGGAGACAACGCCAGCGTGATCTGCAACCTGACAACTCTGCACCAGGCATGTTTCCCTGCTACCTGTGCCTGAGAATTTGTTCATGGATTGAGCTGCTATCTCATTTGGCAGCCTACAGAAGGTGGACAGAGAGGGAAGGACAGCATCATCGTCAGCAATGGCAGACAGCCTAAGAGAGAGAAGAGAGATATAATGTAAAGAGGTTATAACAGAAATTTTGTCTTATGTTGATTTGAACTCTAGATCTAGAAAATGAATTATATTCATATAGTAATGCTGTATGAATTTGGCTCATCCAATTATAATAACTGGAAACACTGGGTCAGATCTGTTTTCTTTTGAATTGCCATAAAGCCTTTTTTCAAGTGCCTGACTGTGAAAATGAATATAACAGATGGGTACATATCTTCAACTTGAACCATTGATTCCACTTTCCAAAGTACAGTATAGACTTGATTATGAAATAGCAATATCAATTAAAATAAATGATAAATGTTTGAGTCGAGGATAAAATTATCAGTATATTTTTGATAAAATCTTTTGCTTATATAAATTCATATCATCATTATTCAGTGAAAGTATTTTCCTGCATTTTCATTGACCTTGTGTCACTTTTCAGGTAAGTATTTTTCTGGATTTTCATTGTCTTTGCATCTCCCTACAGGTAAGTTGTGTAGTTTATCATAAAAAATCAATTCCAGACACTTGTTCAAATTCTAACCAATTTTCTTTCCTATAAGTTCAAGTGGAACTTATTTTCTTCACATGTTTTTTTTTTTATCTAAGTCTTGTATACATTGTATTACAATTGACTGTAATTTTCACATGTGGTTAGTTTGTTTTATTGTTTGATGGCATATCAACTCCTTAAGGGTCATTTAATACCAAAATTTTATTTTCTTGTGAACTTTGGTAATTTTTTTTCCAAAAAATTATTGCTGATAATTTATTTTTACTATGAAAATATATTGCTGGTAATTTTTTTGTAATGTATTTTTATGCTTTCATGTTTTGACCCCAGTTTGAGGTGGGGACACTATTTGCCAAGAGATGGGACCCTAACAGGTGCTACCACCCTGCTCCGGGTGAACTTGGGAACAACAGCAATTAAGCTCCTCAAAATCTCCCAATCAGAGGCCTTGCTGCCAGATGTAGTTTATCATCATACCCAGGACAGACATGGTTAGTTTGGTTAGGTTAGCCTCTTCCTTTAGTATCTTTAATTCATCACTATTCAATTTCTGAAATCTTCCTTAGTGTTTTTTGACCTCAAGCTGAAAGTCTCCTTTTTAATATTTTGCACTTTTTCTTCACATATGTTTGCACCATAAGTCTTTGTATTTCATCACTTATGTTGCATTTTGCACTAGGATAAATATGATGTGTAAACAGTATCAAATGTGCATTTTATATTCAGTTATGAGTTTTATTGATAATCAAATGATCAGTTTCTTCTCAGCAATTCTGAAAGTGTTTGTACTGAGAAACAATATAGAGCTGAAGAAACTTCAAAGAAGTTAAGAATTACTTAAGAGTGAACCAAAACAGCAGTGGGAACTTTTAACATTCAACCTACCAATAACAAAAAATATATGCTTCAATTGTTAAACTTGATATTTAATTCAGTAACTACAACCTGGAGACTCTGCAATCGAGTACAAAAATTTAAATATCCAGGAAGTGTTTTAAAATGGGACACTGAAATCTGAAGACACATTGAAATAGCAAAAGTTATAAAAGATGCTATTAGAAACAAAGAAAAAAAGTATTGAACTCTTATGCAATATTGGTACTTCTATATAGCAGTGAATGTTGGACAATCTCCTCACAGATTGAGAAACTTGATGTAACAGAAAGGTGGTTCTACAGCTGAGAATACCGTGAACTGAACATTTGAGTAACAAGGGAGTTTTAAGGAAAATCAAAACAAAAAAGACAGATACTTAGAATCAGAACAAGACAGTTGAAATTTTTAGTGCACATAATGAGGAAAGATGGTTTAGAGAATTTGACACTCACAGGACATATTGAGGGCAAGAGGGACAGGAGATAAGCAAATATCCTACCTTATGAGCTTGGGTAAATGTTTGGCAGAACAGGGTTTAGGAGAGATAGCAAAACCCCCCACAAAAAACAAACATTACTAAGAGCTGCAAAGGATAGGAAATTGTGGAGAGCTATAATCGCCCACGTCCTGAAGGGATTCGGTACATAGAAGAAATAATGTTGAACAATTCCTCTTTTATTTGGATCTTAATCTTGTAACTTTTAAGATTATGGTCTCACCTTGGCTTTCATTTGAGATTTTTGATAGTTGACATTGGTAAATGTATTTCTTTTATGTGTCATGTCATTTCAGGACTTTAGCAATCATGGCTGTCCATAATTTCTTTTCTTTTGTAGCTCTAAGTAATGTTTGTCCTTCTTCCAAGTCCTTGTTCTGATATCCATTGACACAAGTTTGTTAGGTAGGTTACTTAATGTTTCCTTCTTGCCTTCAGTATGTCTTGTGAGAATCAAATTCTCCAAGCCCTCCTTCCTTATTATGTATGCGAAAAACTTTGTTTATTTTTAAGTCTTTTTTGTACCAATTTTCCTTAAAAAAAACTTCTTCACAGTTCACATGCTCCATTAATGGTATTCTCAGCATCCTTCTGTAGAACCACATCTCTGTTGCTTCAATTCTCCTTTTGATCTGTGTGGAAATTGTCCAGCATTCACTGTTATAGAGGAGAACTGATAATATGTAGTAGTTCAGTGCTGTTTATAAATTATTTTTTTTTGACTAATGGAGGTATAGGTTACCCAACAGTTAATATCACCGAAAATGGAATCGCTCGATAGTCCAAACTTTGGTTGGGATTAG